TCTTTCAATAATCGATGGGGGGAAACATAACAAATCAGTCAGTCTATGCACATCAATGAAAACACACTGACCTTGCTGAGTGTACAAACCACTCTGCAATCTTCATCAGGAAAGAACATACGCTGAGCCATTAAGACAGTCATTAAAACTCAACAAAAACAGAGAAACTCAGAAGAGCTTCACCCATCATTTTCTAAATAAGTAACAATCATCTCATACATTGTGTTGTGTTATCGAACTGTAATTGTGAATTTAAAATCATTAGGTAGGAGAAAATGCGAGAAACATTATGACATGAGTTGGCAAAAACTTATTCATTATGACACTAATGCTGCGCAAGTAACAAAAGAAAAGAAGATGAACTATGTAATTAAACCTCTAAAAAAGACACATTATCAGGGCCAGGGGACTGAGCTGCCATTTGAGATACCTGCACCCATGTTTAGTACCTGGGATGTAGTCCCGTGTCCAGTTCCAATATAGCCTCCCGCCAATGAGCAGCCAAAATGATGGTCCAAGTACTTGAGTTCCTAACACGTGGGAACCCGGTTTTGGCCTGACTGTCCAGTACAAATCAGAGGATGGAAGATCTGTCTTTCCTTTTCTGTCACTGTCTTTCAAGCAAAGAAACAAAGCTTTATTTTCAAAGATGAATTTATTTATTTAAAAGGCAGAGTGGCAAAGGAGAAACAAAGAGAAAGACACACAGAAATATTTTCTACACACTGATTCACTACCCAAATGGTTACAACAGCCAGAGTTGGGCTGGGCAGAAGCCAGCAGTAAAGTACTTCATACAGGTTGCCTATGTTGTAGCAGGGTCCCAAGTACTTGGGCCATTTTCCACTGTTTTTTAAGGCATATTAGCAGGAAACTTGAACAGAAGTAGAGCAGCAGGGACTGTAACCAGACCTCAAACGGAATGCAGGCACCACAGGTAATAGTTTAAGCCATTATATTATGCTGCCACACAAAAATCTTTTTAAAAGAGACACTATTAACAAGTAAAAAGACAACCCCAAGGAATGGGAGAAAATACTTGCAAGACATATGTATAAAGATATTAATATTCAGAATATAAAGTATATAGTAAAAATCCTATAATTCAAAATAATTTAACAAGAAAAGAACTAAACAATCATTTTTATAAAGATGGCATACAGACGCAGAATGTTCAGGTTATCCTATGAGCCAGGGCTGCTATGAGATGAGAGGAACATTTCCCAGGAGGCTCCCAGACACCCAGCCAGTGTTGGCCCTCCCCTTGCAAATAAGAGATAATCTGGACTTTTTTGGTATGCTGGGGCAGGTGCTGGGGATGGGAACAGGCTGACAAACACAGGGAAAGATGTTCAACATTAGTCATTCGAATACATGTATGCTCTCTGGTCTCTCTTATAAAACCACCAGCATTCAACTATGGGGTGGGGTGGTGTTCCCCCTTGATGAAATTATCTAATCCTCACTGCTTCACCCATCATGAAAACACCAAAGAAATATTTTTCACACCTACTGCAATATCCAATATGAAAGACAACAACAACAAAAACAATAAGTGTTCGCATTGACATGCAAAGATTGAAACTCTAATTCACTGCTAGTATAGGCATATAATGGTGGAGCTGATGTGGAAGACAGTATGGAGACTCCTGGAAAATTCTAACAGAATTACATGAAACAGATATTCAATTCCTGGGGATACAGAAGGGAAAGCAAGGATTGCATCACGTATTTGTAAGTGCCTTATTCACAACAGACAAAAGGGGGCAGCAATCCAAGCTTCCATGGAAAGATATGTAAACATGACAAATACCCAGGCTTTAGCCTCTTTTTATTGCTAGTATATTCTGGGTTCACATTCCTGGCCCAAGGGTGAACAGTCACATTAGCTAATGGCTGTCCTGCTGAGGAAAGTCCTCAAAGGTTCAAGGCATCACACAACAAGAGAGAGGCAGCACATGTGTGTGTCTCTCTTATGACAAAGCCACCAGTATCCAACCATGGAGGGTGTTACCTTAATGGCTATATACTCCTAAAGAATTCACAAAGGATCCACCTCTAAAGGCCATATTTCCTTTTAACACCTCAAAATTAGAAATGCAACTCCAACATTGAGTTTTGGAGGGAGCGAGCATTCCAACATACATGGAATGTTATTAACCTTTAAAAGAGGACGTTTTGACAAATGATACAGTATGATGAACCTTAAAACATTGCACCATAAAGTAAGTCAATAAAGAAATGACAACCACTTATATGAGGTTTCTAAAGTACACAAAATCATACAGGCAGCTGCTGGGGTCCGTGCAGTAGGTGTGGATGGCATGAAGGTGTGAAGAGAACAGCTCCCCTGCTTGGCAGGGCCCGGGGGAGTTTCCAGCTGTTGGCAGGGCCCAGCGGATTTCTCTCTGACCACCTTGACACAGTCTCACCACCTTTTTGCATGGACACTCAACCACCCCACTAAGAATTCTGTGATCTATTGAGGCACTGTTTGCCCCTGTGATATGGCTTTTGCCACCAACGTGAGCTTGAGAGTTAATGTTATTGATAATGTCTTGGTGAGTGGGCCTCTGACAATTTACATACAGGAGTACAATTAAACCCATGCCATTTCTGGACACCTTATTGTGTACCTATCCATTGCCCTGATATTGGGCCCAAACAAATAGCATGCCTTCTGGGAAATGGCTTAATAAGAATTTTACAAAGTAATGGAAGTGATGGGAGTGAGAGCTGAAACTGCTATGGCAATAAATATAGTCATTGCTATCTTAAAGGCTAGCTTGTCTTTGCAATTTTTTGGAGCATAGAAAATGTTAGTTGTAGCTGCTTTTATAATTTTTAGCTAGAGGAATTAAGGATGCTTTTATTAAAGAAAAATGCTTTTGATTATTTCATTGTTTATGGGGTTGTAGACTCTATAGTTGTAGGGGGATTTAACATTTGAAATTTCTGTTTTAGATTTTAGGTTTTTCCCTTGTAACCTATTTTCCCATTAAATAATGGGTAAATTGTAGAAATAGAAATGTGGTAGGAATGTACTACTGATTAGCAGGCAGTCGTATGTGCCTTGGCCTTGGAGTCATGGCTGTTGTTCCATGGCTACTGTTGAAGAATGAATACAGGCTTGCTTGGAAGAATATGAATACAGTATTTTGCAGAATTATCTTTAGAGGCACCTGCTTAGCCCTGAAATGCAGACGGAATGACCAAATGTCTGTACATGCCCCCTTAAGTCTTGAAGTAAAAAATAGAACAATTAGTTGCTTGTGTAGAAGCTTGTGAGGTGTCTGAGTAAATAAAAAGGACAGCTTTTTCTTGAGCTGTGTGAGAACGCACCAAGTGTCAGTGTCTGTGTCTTTCTTCATCGCCGACTCCACGAACTCTTCCCGAGCTCCGAACTCAACTGGAGCTGGACTCCAGCAGGCAGCAAACAGTGGCAGATATTTGGCACAGTTATGGCACTATCTGGCACTCTGAGGGACTAGGATGGGGTCCCACCTGTGTTCTAATACAGCTTCTCATTCAAGGGCTGGGCAGATAGTGAACAAAGGCTCAAGCATTGGACTTCCTGCAGCCCAAACGGGAGATTCAACATGAAGTTCCAGGCTCCTGGTCTCAGTGTGGCTCAGCTCTGGCTATTCTGGGCAATTGGGAAGTGAGTCAGGGTACAGAAGATCTCCCTATCTCTCCTCAAATGGAAATGAAAATTCATTAATTAATTTTAAGAGACAGTTGATTAAGGATCACCAATGTATGCAGCAGAGAAGAACATGAACTCAGTGTTTGATGAGTCAGCATCTGATCATCTGGGGAAGATAAATTCTGTAGATCCATAGTAGTGATGCTTCAAATCATATGAATATATATAATTCTCTGGTAATTTTAAAAAAGTGTCCAGATTTAAGTTACATATATTTTATTACAACCCAACTGCTTAATTAGAGTTCTAGTCTGTACTTGTAGTTGTAACTGATGCATATATCTGCTTTTCCTACTCACTGCTTGATTAGATGAAACAACGCAATCTTAAAAACAACTTGAAAACAAGACAAGTCATTTTTAAGCTACATATGTACAAGTACATTAGTATAAACAACAGGTTTATTGACATACAAATATATGTACAAAGGTACAAATTAGAGAGAGAGAGAAAGATTCCAGGAAAAATCACATTGCAATGGCTTGAGTCAAGGCCAGCTGGTAGTATACTCACATGTATAGCAGAAGAAAGAAGGATCAAGCAGAGAAGAATTTGCAGGAGATCTTGAACAGTAATTTCAAATATGACAGAAGACTCAAGTAATGTAAAGACTAAAGAATAGTCTTTGGATTTGACAAGAATTTAAGACACTAGTAAGCTTTTACAGAATTGAACTAAGATTCTACTGAGTGAGCCAAGGTACAAACAAGCAATGTAAATATTAGCCTGAAAATGTTAACTTTGGACAGTCTGTGGATAATAACCAGCATATGTATGTAGACGGGAAGAAATGAATGGAGAATTCTTTAAGGACCTGTAGGTGATTATATCTTCCAGATATTCCTGGATCCATTTGTAAATGAATTTCAACCTTCCAAAAGTTATCTAGGACCAAACTATATTTGGCAACTCCAGAGAAAACCTAATAACTGATTTTGTGTTTTAGCACAAAGAATTACTACCACTGAATGCTGAATGGCTGAGTGTTTATTTCCAAAACAAGAACACTGTCTACTACATTAATTCTACTAAAACAGATGCTGAAGCCTTGATATCCCATGAGTCTTCTCTTAGGATCAATTTGAATCATCAAATACATGTGACTATCTGTTGAATCTAGATTCAATTCTGATGTCTCTAACATCTTGTAACCCTGCCAGCTTTCTCCTGTTTGTGCACATATTCCCTGATACTGAATTTTATCTATTTTTATTTTTCTATTTTAATTATTGAGATTTCAAAAAATTCTTAAAATACAATGAAAAACAAACTGGAGAATAAACAAACAACTTACTGGAGATGTATTCATCTTCTTTACTTTTGGAGCCTTGTAGGGAATTCTAGAATCAGACCTGGAAAAAAGGGTGTAGAGAAAGCCATGAGAGAAATGACCTGGCTTGTTCCTAGAGTCTACAGCACAAAGCAAGATCATGTCAGAAACCAGAGTACACCAAACAGATCAGCTGCAACACCAAAACAAAACACATCAGAACAAAGCCTCCCTGCTGAGCATCAAGAAGGGATGGGAAAGACCCCATTGAGAAAGCACCCACGATTCTATCAGTGGGTAGAGATGAAATAGAATCATTAGGTTAAAGAAAACATTTATTTGCTATTTTTTTCCTAAAGTTAGTGTGAAGAAATAATTTAAAATTTAAATATACCAAAGAAACATGCAGTTGGTAAAATTTACATTATAGGAAATGCTGCTGTGATACTATTTTACTGTTAATACAGATGTGGCATACAGGACTATACATTACTGTTTCCATACATCTAAATTCCATAGGAAGTATGCCTCTTGGAGCCCACGTACCAACAGCTGTACAAGAAAAGTGTACACAATGTGTTTTACTACAGCATGATTCTTCAGGAATGGCTCCAAACGAGACCTCCCTGCAACCACGCCTTCACTGGGTCCTCCCCAGGAAGAACTCTGACTTTGCCTTCTCACTTGCATTAGCCATTGGGACATCGGTAAATGTGATACCGTGACCTCAGGTAGAAGCCTGAGGCCTGCCCTGCTGGAAGCACAGGGCCTGGCCCTGAGCCTGCACAAACCACCAGCTGTGTGAGGGAAGCCATCTTCAAGTCAGGACACCAGATGACCAGACCCTCACTTGTGAACCTTGGCAACACCGCACCTGCCCAGCTAACTCACTCCAAAGTGTAAACTCAAAACTGCAAATAAAATGCTTATATTAAAATAAGATCTAGTAAGCTTTTTGTGATTTGTTACATGTGAAATGCTGACACATATTGGAGAAGAGGGGAGAAAGAACTGAATTACATGCCAACTCCAACAATCAGAACTTAGCAGTCGTATGTAGAGGCTTTCATAAGCCCGATAAATGTCAACCAGATGGATCCCGGCAAGGCTGCTGGCACTGAGAGGCTGTGTGAGTCATGCAAAATCCGAGCACGTAAGACCATTTTTTGCATTTTTATTTATAGGTGACAATTATATTGTTGTATCTATATTTTAAGAAGTTAGCAGTCTAAATGTGCTTCAGTTGAATTTTGCTTTGAACAATAACAGGAAATAAGTTCACAGTAATCTGCTACAGCATTTATGATTTTTAACAACAGAAAACAATACAGGCAGGAATGACTTCCTCACTAACATTAAATGGGAAAAACCTGGATTATAAACCCTTTGGACTCTCATCAGCCACAGAAAGCCTCTAGGGGAGATGTTAAGCATATTCAAGGCGATGTCTTCTCAAAACCATATTCTAAGCTGATTAGCATTCTTGAAGTTGATCTCAAAAACTAGATTTAGAACTATTTAAGGCAAACTAAAGAACATAGCCAAACATCAGGCTGCCTGACATCTACCAACCGGTTGACACTGGCCAAGTGCACTTATTTACTGGAGCCCAATTTATTTCATCTCTCTTTTCAGGCAGAAAGATCTGAGCAAACCATTCCCATGCTCTCGAAGAGAACTATCAAGATGGAGCGAGTGTCAGCATCATCTCCAGACAGTGAATGTGACAGTCCAGGTTTGGGTGAGGGCCAATTCTTTCACAAATGAGGGCCGAATAAAAGTGATCAGAGTTAGACTGTCAGACAGACATTTTCAGATATTACAGAGTATCCTTCGCTGAAGGCCACACCTTCAAGAACGCTCTAGTGCGATTTCCTAGGACATGCACCCTTCCTTCTCAGCCCACTCACATTTCCCTTCTGAAAGTGGGGTCAAACTTTGCGACCCCGTCTCAGCTGCAACATGGATACACAGGGCAGCATCACTGCAGCGTTCATTAGCGTAGCTTGGGCCATTCAACCTAGGCCTGTCCCCCTCTTTGGGATTCTTAATTCTTCCGTGAAACGCAGAGGAGAGGGTGTGCGGCAGAGGACCACCCTCACGGGTGGAATTCCTATTGTTGGAGCCCCTGCTAAACAGAGAACAAGACCCATGCTCCCATGTAGAGGGAACAATCATCTGCTACCCCGCCCTCTCTCCTGGAACTCCGACTGTCACTGGGAACTGGAGGGGGACCAGGAACTTCACTTGCTGGACAGATGCCACGAAACGCAGCAAATACGACTGCTCCGCGGAGACTCCCTCGGGCGCACAAGCCAAAGCGGTTCTCTCTGGGAGGCTGTAAGGTGACGGCACACACCAACTGGACCCCTCCGTGCAAGGGCCTGAACAGGGACACCCCCAACTGCCGCCATCTTAAATAGATCACCCCAATAGTGGGAACCACAGGAGCCGGCGTCTTCCCCTCCTTGGAGGCACACCCGGCCTCCCGGCGGTACTCCAGATCCTGACACAGTGCTCCTGAAACCAGTCTGCGTCACGCCTTCCTCAGCTCGCAGCAGAGCCGCCTTCAGCCAGGGACACCCCCTGCCAGACCCTGCCCACGTCCGCGGCGCACTTAAACCCTGTCAGGTCCTCCTACCCCAGACTCACCAACTTCGCCGTTCACACCAAACAGGACATGCGTTCCGGCCTCTCCCCAAGACTTGCCCGGGTGCCGCGGGGCTCCTTTCAAGCACCCTCCCGCTGATCTTCAAGGACACAAAGCCCAAGCTCGGTGCCAGCAAAGCAGCGTGTGCCGCGCCGCAGCATCCGGAATTTGTCAGAGGAAGATGGTGGGAGTAGGTGGAGCCGCACACGCGCACAGGGATCCCCGAGTGGCCTTCCCACAGTCCCGAGCTGGTGATGTCAGGAAAAGGTAAGACTACACTTCCCACAAGCCCTGGCGCCCCTTTGTTAGGCAACGAAGCGGGTAGGATTTCAGTGTTTGCAAAGGGGGCCTGCTCCAGCTGCAGCTGTGTGGAGACCAGGTGTGAAAGGAGAACTGATGGTTTTTATCTGTGTGACAACCACACAGAATTCAAACTCTTTGATTCCTGTTTTTAAAAAAAATCCACGCTGAAAAAGAAATGTGCTGTGAATGGAGGCATTTATATCTGAGCAGAGTTTTAATTGTCAATTTGTTTTTTAAAGTTCTGGTCATTAGATTGTATCTCTAGGCCCAGGTGTACTCATTGCAGATGCTTGGTAAATGGCTATATTTAGATACTTATACGTGAAACTAGTATCCTTATGGCAACTCACTTCTTTGCCCTTTAAAAAAAATATGCTTGATGTTGGGGAGCGCATTTGGCATAGTGATTACCATGCTGCTTGGCCGCCTCTCTCATCTATGGGGGTCTCTGGGTTTGAGTCCTGCCCTTGCTCCTGATACCACAGCCCTGCTAATATGCACCCTGAAGGCAGTAGGTGATGATGGGGTCCTACTGCTCACATGGCAGACGCACGTTCAGCCTGTGGCTCCTGCCCCCTGAGGGAGTCATATTCCACATTTGGGTAAACTATCCTATGGTCATCACTACTAAAATATGTAATCATGTACATGAACTTGCAATGTTTTGCCTTAATTTAAATAATTAAAATACTTTTTTTAAAAAGGCATGCAAAAAAGATCAAGTCACCTTTCTCCTTAATCTCAATGACCTGCTCAGTTAACCACCGTTATTAGTTTATATGCTGCCAAGATTTCTGCTCTTGGGAATATCCATGTCTATCTCATACAGAATGTATATCATACAGAAGGGAAGTCACATCCAGGCTTGATTTTGGAATATTGTCATGAAATATTGCATACAGCAGCTCTGATAACACATCCTTTAAAAAATGATGTGGGTTCATACATTTCTTAAACATTTTCATTGAGAGGACTATAACTGACTTGCCATGCAATTCGTCCACTTAATACGTGTAACCCAGTGATCCACATTCTTATTGTCAATTTCAGAATATTTTTATCACCACAAAAGAAACTCAAATCTCTTTAGCTATTTACTATCACCCATCCTTCTAACCTACCAACTACCTCTCACCCTCAAATCTACTCTGCTTCTGTAGATTTGCCTTCTAGAGACACTGCAGGTGTCCCAGACCCAATGTAAACTCTCCCTCCACAGGTGGTGTCTGGGCCCTACCTCCGAACTCAGAACACAGTCCCAGGAACAATGAACTGCAGGAACAAAAGTAAAGGATCATGTGTAACCACACCAGGGACATCAGACCCTCGACTGCCAGCTGCAGGGAGAGGCAGCCTTCTGCTCCTGATGGCATTTGGCTAGAATGAAGCATCCACTTCACTGTAATGGGGAAGGGGAAGCTGGGAGCAGGTCTGGAGTCACATATCACTGAAACCTTATGCTCTTACCAAATCCCAGTAAAGCTTCCTCAGAAAAGATTTCATTTCTGTGTATGTCCTTGAGACCATCATCGAGAATTTAAAAGGTTGGCTTTTTTTTTTTTTTTTTTTTTTTTTAGTAACATTCAGAAACCTGTGCTGTGGCACAGCATGTTAACCAGCCACATCTTGTTCATGGCATCAGGTTGAGTCCTGGCTGTTCCAGTTCTGATCCAGCTCTCTGCTAATGCACCTAGGAAAGCAGTGGAAGATTGCCTGAGTGATTTTGCCCCTGCAACTCACATGGAAAACCCAGACAAAGCTTCTGGTGCCTGATTTCCCTCTAACCCAGCCCTGGATTTTGTGGACATTTGGGAAGTGACCCAGCAGATAGAATATCTTTCTCTCTGCCTCTCCACTACCTCTGTAACTCTACCTTTAAAATAAATCAATAATTATTTTTTCCCATCAAGTTTCCTGGGATTGAAGTTCATATAGCTACTCATGCTGTCATGCTAAAGATTGCTTTAGATTTATGTAATGTCAATGTTTGCATGAGCAGTGCTTATGAGTTATGTTTGCAATTGCTACATAGCTAGTAAAATAATTAAACTCAATCAGTTACTGGAAGTCTGTGATTGCATTAACACAATTATTCTTATGTTTTGTTACCATCATTTAAATCCTATAACTGGCAACCCCATTTGCAACTTTACCCAATATCATGTGGCTATTAATTTTCTCATAGGTAATTGCTATAAACACCCCCATTTACTTTGTTTGACATACTTCTTGTTCATGGCAAGAGGTGGCCACCCAAGTGGGCATTAAAATCATTTCACTTGCCTTGGAGTCTTGCAAGATTTCTTTGAACACCACCACTGCTACAATAATAGTAGACTTATGAGTTCTGAGCAAGTGCTTTTTCTGTGTGTCACATTGTCATAAGCTCTAGTTTTGATTAACGTTAACTTAAAATTTGAAAAATCTTAATGAAAATATTGTACATGTTGATTGATTCATGCTCACATAAACTGAGGTTTCCGTTTTGTTTCACATATTCATGTGTTTATGTTTTAGAGACAGTAAGTACTAGACGTCGTATATACTCTACATAAACACAGTTTCACAATACCATTTGGAAATTTATAAACTTATAAATAAACTGCTAATTATTATTATTTCTAATGTTTCTTAATATTCCACCTTAAAGATTTGACCTGTTTACTATCAGCAGGCTTGTCCATCCTGGCTTTTTGTATGTGTATTCAGGTGTTTGTGTATCTATTTTGTGTATGTGTATACAGATGTTTCTGTTTCTGCATTTATGTGATTGGAAATAATATTGGAAACAATGCTATGAGGAACCCTAATTGCAATTTTAAAACAAAGGCCTTTTCTGATGTGTGCATTTAAGGCAAATTACTCAGCCATTTCCCCTACACTGTGGACAGAATTGGATTTACTCAAAATTCCTATCTTGAAGATCTATCCACCAATGCAACTGTATTTGCAGGTAGGAACTCTAAGGAAGTAGTAGGGCCAAATGATATGAAATGTGTCCTGACAAAGAAAATACCCCGTGAGAATGCAGCAAAGTGGCTGTCTAGAGAGAGAGAAGCCAGAGAGAGAGAAGCCAGAGAGAGAGAGAAGCCTCAGGAGACCAAGCCTATCAACACCTGCATCTCAGTCTTCTAACCTCTAGAACTATGAACAACACACCTCTGTGATTTAAGCCCCTCCTCCCATCTGTAGTACTTTTTCATGGCAACCCAAGCAAACTAAACCATTCGCCATCTCTGACCACTTTCCTGTAGTGCATTGATTTTAACATTATATGTTAATGAAACAAAGAAATGAAAAATCATGGTTTCTTTTAGTTAAAAGCCTAAAGAGAAACAGGGAGGAAAAAAGAAACCCAGAAACCCAACTATATCTAGGAGGTGGAAAATAAGAAAATGAGCGGTTTATATAGATATGTGCCCATAATTTGATCCAATCGGAAAGTGACTTTAAAATTATATAACAGGGCCCAGCACGGTGGCGCAAGTGGTTAAAGGTCCTCGCCTTGCACGCCCGGGATCCCATATGGGCGCCGGTTCTAATCCCGGCAGCCCCGCTTCCCTTCCAGCTCCCTGCCTGTGGCCTGGGAAAGCAGTCGAGGACGGCCCAAAGCTTTGGGAACCTGCACCCGTGTGGGAGACCCGGAAGAGGCTCCTGGCTTCGGACTGGCATAGTATCGGCCCGTTGCGCTCACTTGGGGAGTGAATCATTGGACGGAAGACCTTCCTCTCTGTCTCTCCTCTCTGTATATCCGCCTTTCCAATGAAAAAATAATAAAAATAAATCTTTAAAAAAAATTATTTAACAAAAATGAGCAAAAGGGCACTCATTGGCTTTTGCATCTCTACAATGCAAGATCAAAACTAAGATACACTGAAATATATATCTTTTCTGCTTTTTTATATTATTATCATTTTATGATACAGTTCCCTAGGCTTCTTTATCCCCTCCCCAATATCTGCCCCCCAACACATACACATATTTTCTTTATATCATTACTAAAGTATACTTCTTTATACAGTCATATGTCCATCATTGTGGTCATGGACAATGGCACAGAGTCCACCATCCTATTTTCAAAATATATTTAGCAGTTTCACTGGGAGTCCCTCTTTGTCTCTAAGTAGAAATGCATATTACATTGTATCCTCACATCTGGATATGATATTCTTCATTACACAGTTACCGTACATCCCCTTAAATGAAAGTCACAATACAAGATCAACAATAGAAAAAAGCCAGAATTTTACAAACATAAAGTTGAATAACATGTTACTAGATATGACAGTCTCCATTGCACAGCTATTATACATCCCCTTAAATGAAAAGCCACAAAACATAATCAACAATGGGAAGAAAAAAAAAATTAACAACACCATGAAGTTAAACAACATGCTACTGAATGACTAATGTGCCGCTGAAGAAATGAAAAAGATCAAGAACCTTCTTAAAGAAAATGATACGGGCCCGGCACGATGGCACAGTGGTTAAGGTCCTCGCCTTGCACGCCCGGGATCCCATATGGGTGCCGGTTCTAATCCCGGCAGCCCCGCTTCCCATCCAGCTCCCTGCCTGTGGCCTGGGAAATCAGTCGAGGACAGCCCAAAGCTTTGGGACCCTGCACCCGCGTGGGAGACCTGGAAGAGGCTCCTGGCTTCGGATTGGCTCAGCTTCAGCCATTGCGGCCGCCTGGGGAGTGAATCATCGGATGGAAGATCTTCCTCTCTGTCTCTCCTCTCTGTATATTTGCCTTTCCAATAAAAATAAAATAAATCTTTAAAAAAAAAAAGAAAATGATACTACTGTATGATCTATGAGTCACTGAAGAATTTAATCATAAGAAACTGTTTTG